CCTGGAACACCTTTAAGATGCGTCCCCATCTTCACTGTTGTTATCTGTAAACTTGCAACAACCTACTACAGATTGGGGAATCATAAAAAGTGTGAAATCCTAAACCCAGCAGAGTCTGTACTGATGAGAATAAGATTCCCATCAACTACTGTAGTACCAGGTTTCCCTGCAGAGTCTCCACAGAGAAAATTAATCTCACGTGAGAAGAAAAAAACCTGCTTTTTCCAACAAACATTTACAAAGCTAAAAATGGATACCGGGAGAAAGGATCAGTCAAAGCCACCTAAGCCAGCTCCACTAAAACATCTCACAATCTGCCATGATTTCCAGCTGAAGTGGTGCACACACACTAAAAAAAACTCAAACTGATTCTTAAAGAGCTGATGATGCTGCAGTTTTATGTACATACATATAATTTGAATGCATATGCTAAAACATTATATACATCTTTCCTCTAATTTGAGATTCACAACATTCACTTCAAATGATCCATTCTATCTAATGCTTTTCACCCATGAAAGTTCTGTTTTCAGCACCTACTGCCCAAGTTACCATCTCCACTTGGAAAGGTTAACTCCTTTCTAGCACCCCATCTTGTCTATCCACTGTACATGCATCCAAAAGTTTCCAAATAATTTCCCACTCAAGGATGAGAATAAGCTTGCCGGCCACTGAAATATCACTGTCTCTTGATAAAATACAACACCTATTTAACAGCACAGAGCAACACTGTCATTGCAAAAGATGACATGCATGGTCTTGGGTTTACATCCTGTCCATCAGGGGAGCATTTCTTATGATTATTCTGAGATGGATTTTGGCAGTGAACCAAAAGGCATGAGGGCATGTCCTACCTCTTTCTGCACACAGCAGGTTCATGGTTCTTTTGTGTCCAGTCTCAGGACTTCCCACATCCAGCACAGGCAGTGAGGTGTGTGGTCATGATCACAAAGGTGGTTATATTGGCTTTCACTGCAAGAGAAGTTTTAAACTGTAGAAGAGTAGTTGCTAAGTTCTGAGGAAGGAAAGCAGGATTCTTGAGGGGTGGCTATTTATTCTAGAGGGGAAAGGCTATTTATTTAGGGCATTTGTCTGATCTCCTTACTCAAGCAGAAAGTTTTACCAATTGACTTTGATAATTTCCTATTAACAAAACATTTTCTTAAAGACCCTGTCCTCCACTCAAAATGTTCAGTGACATTGTAAAACATCTGCCAAACACAAGAGGATCTCTCTGACTGCTGATTCCTGAACATTTTAAGATAAGGAAACAAATGGACCTGAACCAAATCTTCTCATAGACTTGGGAGCCCACTAACTCTCCACATATTTCCTATCAATGGCCTGACTACAAACAGAATGGTAGTTCTTTACAACATCTCCTGTGGGTATGTGGCATAGAACAGGCACAGCTGTACCTATATATAACATGTTTTATATCAATGTATTTATCACTGCAAGAAAAGAGAATGATACCTTTGTGGGGCTGTGTTTCTTTTGTATTGTTTTTATTATGTTTGAAACAGGAACAGTACTAATAAAATTATCTTGCTGCCAACCCCTCTCTCAGAGGGAGAAGTTAGCACTGGTTGACTGTGATTTCTTAATTTCAAAATACATATGTTATCCCTTGTGTGTGCTTGTGTTCGTGCATGAGGGGCAACATATATATTCTGAAATAAAAGAAATACCGGTGAACATATAATATTTCTGTCTGACATCAGGATGAGCTTGTCACAACCGAGTCTATGTCCCTGACTTGGACCCTAGTGGTAAAACTAAACTGACATCAAGTTGGTTTAGTTTACGGCAGCAGAGATTTCCTAATATAGGCAGGCCCTATCTCTTGTCCTTTCATCCCACCCCCTCTTTAATTTGTCTCTCTGAGTTCTGATGACTGAATCACTTCCCCCTTTGTTTCTCTGATTTGTTTCTTAATCTCCTGCTCCTGAAAGATGCTTAGTTCCTGAATCCCTATACAAATACACTTTCCTTTCTAAGCTTCTCACCAGCCAAACAAGGTTTTATTTGTTTATTTAATTTGACATGCTGGAGAGAAATGATCCCGTTTCCTATGGATTATCAAAGTAACAAATAGCTTTACAAGAGGGTAAACAAAGTAAAACTCATGCTGAAACTCCTTTGAACTGGGGGTTTCCCATTCACGTCCCTTCATAATGTGAGTCTTTCCCCTCTCCTCTACACAGTACACAAAATTACTTTCTGGTCACTTTGGACCATGGCCACTCCTGGAACTGAGCTGGTCATCAATTCCTCATACATCCTTCCACAAACTTATCTTGAATTTACAACAACACGGCCAGACAGCTTTGAACTCACTCTATGATGGAGCATTTTATCCATCTTGTCTTTGCCTCGCAATTCCCCCTATAAAGTTTTCATTTTTGCAAAAATGCAGAGCTAGAGGAACCTGGTGGTGTGCCTGGGAGCCTCCATGGAGGCAGGCATACCACAGTGATTTTTACTGGGAATTTTGCCTAACTCAGGCGGCAGACGTGGTACACCTAAAGCAGCACTCTGCAACACACCTCCTGCAATGTACATTTCTGGAGAAAAATAGACAAAACAACACAACTCAGGTGTGAATCTGGGCTAAAATTCCTAAGGACTCTGAGCCAGAGCTGCTGAAGAGCAGCTCCCAGAACAGCAAACCTCAGCAGACTGCAGCACACATATTTTCAGGGCACTTAGGTTTGGTGGCTGGGGACTGGCTGGCTTCCCCCCACCCCCAACATCCCTTTCTGTTTATTACTCCTGCTGTAATTGGGAGGCATGTGTGGATGAATTAAACATAGCGGGACAGATGAGAAAACTCTCCCTCCTTAGCTGGCTGAATGAGCAAATTTAACTGAGCCTGTTACCCACTGAGTATCGTGCCGACATGCCAGGGTCCGGTTTCCTTTGAGCTTGCCCTTTCATGCAAAGTCTCTCTGTGCCCCCCACCTTGCTCCTCACAATATCAAACAGCTGGAGTTTCAGCAGCCCCAAGGAGGAGCCTTTGCATCAGACAGCAGCAGCAGTGGGAATTTTGTCTGGGATCAGAGAGGGACAGGGCCAATATGGGCAAATTGGTAGCCAAGGATCTCCAGAAGGACATGGGACACCCCCACCCCCCAACCATGGGCTATGCTTGGTCAATGCCCAGAGTAAACGTTTCCTTATGCCGGAAGAACTGGGGTTAATGAGGGGGTTTTGGCTTTCATACTACTTCGACAGGCAAGGAGCATCCAGAAACTGGTGCAGGCAGGGAGTTTGAAACAAATGCATACCAGCCTAGAGCATCCCCAGCAGAGCAACAACAGAGCTTCCTGAGAGCGGGACTGCCACTGGCTTGTCCGGGGATGCCAAGGGGATGTGGCTGCACAAACCAGCACCCTGCTCTGTCCCAAGGCATTTCTTTTGGAAGGCAGATGAGAAGAACAGCATATGGAGGGCACTGCTGCATCCATCTATTCCCTCAGCCCCAGGGATAAATAGGGAATGTAATCCTGCAGGGTTGCAATCTTTCCTTTCATACTGTTTAACAAGCCCTGGGGCACTTCTTTGCACAAGGTAGCTCTAATTCTGCTCTCTCACTTTTTCTTCCCACCTCTGTAAGTCTAAGACTAGTGAGGGCTAATTCAGTTACTACTTTAATTTAGGAGAGTTTATGACTGCTTTAAATTAGGAAACCAGCGTTTTTCAGACAAGGCAGGTGCTAGAGGTCTTAGCACTTGTAAAAAATAGGCCACTTAGTGAGGTGTCTACATATGGATTTAGCACCTGAGGAGTGTGTTACTGACAATATAAGGAAAAAAACTTGGAAGCTTGGAAACAATTCTTTAAAAGATAATTAGAGAGCAAAGTTAACATTTCAGAGGAAGGAAGTTTATGTTCAACCTGGTAAATCTTTGTGTTCAACCTGATAAGATTACCCATTGAAATGAAAGTTGAAGAAGCCATCTTCACACATTCCCTTGGAACTCAAAAAATCCTACAGAAAAATCAGTTTTAATCTTTTCAGTAACCATGTAATAAACCAAGGAAGCAAGAACCCCAAATATAAATAGAAAAAAAAACAACATTAAATTCTTTGCATCATCCTTATGAGAAATGAGTAAAAGTAAACCAGGAAATCAGAACTCTCCTAATGTGCCACTAAGCAGAACTAACTTTGAAACCCAATGATGACATGATTAAAAACTTCCTCTTTCACCTTTTTCTTTGAAGACTGAAGGACTTCACATTTAGAAACTACAGATCACGTTTGTCATCTATGCTCTTCTGTACATGGCAAAAACATGAGAAACCTATCCTGACCTTTCAGTCACAGATTTGTTTCAAGATAATCTTTACTGAAGAGCCTTGAAAGGCCAAAGATTTCCCTTCACCTCCGGGTAAATTTAAGTTTTGGGGCATGAATTCACTCTTTGGTGCAGGGAGATGCAGTGAGGAGGAAGTGATGAGGTTTAATCTCAGGGAATGATGGCACTGCTTTTCATTAAAATTTTGTACCCGAGACACTTTCCACGAGAGCAAGCACCTGCTAGGAAGGGATGGCTGGAAGAAAAGACCTTTTCATCCTTTTGGTATTTATTACAACTGATGACCGCCGAGGATGGGGCGCCCGGGGGCCTCCGTGAGCCGCTGGTGCCGCTCCAGCGTGCGGGGCCAGCCCGGCACCCCCGCTCCCGGGGCCGGGCAGTCCTCGCCCCGCACCCGGGCCGGTGGGGCCGCCTCCCCCGCCCACCACAACCTTTTGGTCCCAACTCTGCCGCTTCCGCCGGCCCGGGAGCGCGGGGAGGCGGGGAGCGGCCCTGGGGGCCCGCGGCTCCCGGTTCGCGGTGCTGGGGGGACGGGGATGGTACGGGCAGGGGACGGGACTCGGCCACTGCCTGCCTTTGGGGAACGGGTTTTTCTTGGACTTTTCTCCCTTCTCTGGCTCCTCCTCTTCTTCCCTCCTCCTCCTCAGGGGGAGGGGAAGGAGGGAGGCTCTCGGGGCAGGAGTAGCCGGAGCAGGGAATTGTTTGGGAGTTCAGTCATCCAAAAGCAGTCTCCCGTATGGAGGGTCTGGCTTTCCGCATCCCGGCGCCTCTTCCCTCCTCCTCCTCCTCCTCCTTCTTCTCCTCCTCCTCCTCCTCCTCCTCCCGCCGCGCCTGAGCTCAGCGCGGCCCCCATCCCCAGCGCCAACCCGCAGAAAAAGCACAACCACCACCCTCAAACCAAGGGCCCCCTCACTTTCCCCTTCCCCGCAAAACAGGCTTTCCCCCCTCTTTTTATCTCTCTCTCTCTTTTTTTTTTCTTTTTTCTTTTTTTTTTTTTTTTCTCCTCTGTGTGTGTGTGCGTGTGTGTGTGTGTGTAGTGAATTCCCCGCAGATCCGGCCTGGAAGTTCCCAGCTCCTGGAGTTAAGCCTCTTTGTTGCCTCCCTTCGTTTGGGGCATCTTTGTGTTTCCCCCCGCCTGCTCCACTGGAGACCGCGGTGAGTGAAAGAGAAGGGGGCCCGGGCCTGGTGGCCCTGGCAAGGGGCTGGGAGGACGCACGGTGGTGGCGGGCGATGGGGGCGCAGGGATTTCGCCCCATCCATCTTCAGGCAGCGGCAGAGTTTGGGAAGTTGGTGTGGGGATGCGAGGAAGGGCGTCTGCCTAGGGATGTAGGAGATTTGACAAGGGAGCAGGGGAGACCCGCTGGTCCCCCTTCTTTTGGCAGAGGCAGGTGAGATGTGGGAGGCTCGGATGTTTCCCTCCAGCTCTTCCTCCTCGGCGCCTCGGCCAGAACTAATGGAGGGCCCAGGGCACGCACAGGCTCCGCGATGCTCCCAGACTCTCCTGGAACTTCCCCAGAAGCCTGGTCCACGAGCTTGCCCTGTCCTCACTGCCGGCTGGGCGAGGAGGCAAGGTGAGCAGTGAGGGAGAAGGAGAAGCTGTGCAAAGTAAGCCGCAGATCCATCCTCCATTGCTCCAACTCTTGTCAAAAGCTGCTGGGAGTTTACAGGCAAAGAGCCGCCTCTGGCATATGCGAAGGCATTTTGGTTTGTGCTCTGTGAAGGGGCTGCTGCTGCAGCAGAGAAAAGCAGGAGTGGGTAGTCTGTCTGTTAGTAGAATTTTTGTCCTCTTCTGTGACCGTAGAGTTTTTAACCCTGGTGCAAGGATAAGGAGTGATTTGGGTCACTCAATTTTCTGCCTGGCAGTGGGATGTTGTAGGATTTGTCCACACATGCCTCCCTGCTTGGACTGCAACTTTGGCAGATCTGTCTGCATGGTGCCTGTAAACAGAAAATGTGTTGGGGAGAAAGTGGGATGCTGAATTTGTAGCCGTGTCCAAACAAGACTTTTTCAAGTGCTCCAAAGATACTTACTGTGAAAAATAATAGACTTTAACCAATACCCTCGGCTGGCAGAAGGTACTTAATACAATGTTTGGGCATTTCCCCAACTGATTCTGGTACCCCAAGTGTTATTTCACTGGCATTGTGTGAAAGGCAGTTCACATCTATTAAAGATGGTCTTTTTTGTCCTTGCTTGTTTTAAAGAAACTCTCTTGACCTCTCTGTAGCATTATGTGAGTGGGATAACAGGAATCCATACATGCACTCAGCACCCTCATGTAATTCCCAGGATGTCTTAAATATTTTTCTTGGTGCCCAATTCTCCTAATTTCTACATTGCTACCATAGTGTCTTTTTGATATGTGCATTTGCAATCTGCCATTAAAATTTCTTTTCCCATGGGCTAAAAAACGACCATGGAAAATATTAGAAGAATGTGGGCGTTTTGTAAGTAGAATTTTATCTTTGTTTTCTTTTGAAACTAACTGACTTAGTGTGCCTGCGATTAAGAGGAGGGTTCCCCCATATTTATGCCTATGTACTTATATGGCTGACACTTTGAATTAATGGGTTGAATATTGAGGTTCATATCCTGGGGAAGGATTTCAGCAGAAACACATCATGGCTTTGCAGTGACAATTTGTTCTGTTTATTTAAGTGACCTAAAGAAATGAAGGTGAAATAAATTCCTATGCTGCTAGGAGTCATGTGGGGATTTTCTGAAGTAAGTAGGACATTTAGGAAGAGCTGTGAGCTTCCTGCTGGGTGCATGATATTCTCTTACAAGAAGTAAATGGAGTTTTGTTCCATGTCCTGTTCTTAATTCTCCCCTTCAGATACAGGGACTCATCCTGCATATACCAAGCAGTAAAAGTCCCAGTAGGTGTTTGCTGTGAGGGTTGAAGTCAGATACAGTGCAGTCCTCCCTGCTTCCTGCTGAGGAATGTGAGGCAGGTTCATCTGAGTGGTACACAGAGGTTCTGTGCAGCTGGGAAAGGCAAGGTCAGTTTTCTCCCACTCATACACACACACCCACAGGACCTTTATTTGAGAGATATCCCAGTACAAGAATCCACACATTTCTTCTCTGCTTGGCACAACGAAGAAGCATTGGAGCTGCACGATTCTGCATGTGTGTGCTCCAAACTAACATGTAAGTTGTATGAGTTCTGTGTATCCCTGCAGTCTGGAGAAAGCAGCTTTTCTGTGCCTTTTACTCACAGGATACAGAAGCACAGGGTGAGAGGTTCTTTGAGATTGTGAAGTGAAACCTAGTGTCTGGCATTTGCAGAGGTCTTTCCAGCCCTCAGAGTTTGAGACTCCTGGCTTGGAAGTTTGCTCCATGGAAGGACAAGTGAATCATTGCTCAGTCCACTTCACTGCTTGCAATTCTGCTTATGTCCTCAAAACTAACAGCAGACAGATCACTCCAAGTCTTCAGAACCAAACTGGCAGCCCTGCAATACCTAAATGATGCTGGTACAGCTCCTTCTGGCTCACTAGGGACAGCAGAATTGCCTCTTTCGAGCCAGCTGGAGCCTCCTGAAGAGCAAGAAGCATCACGGTGGGGCTATGAAGCAAGCAGCCTGCTTTGTCCCCATACTTCCCAATGCTATAGTGCCTTTCCTGAGTTAAAAAAAAGTTCCTTTTAGGGCAGACCTGAATTTTTGTAGTTTCTTGTGATTGTTAGTGAAACACTTGACTGAAATACCACCAGATCAACCTGCCAATGTTTCCTGGGCTATTCCTGAACCACATGCCCCTAGAAGCACAGAAACCTTGCAATCTGATAACAAGGAAAACATAGGAAAAAAAACCACAACTATTGCTTCTTCTACCTGGGCTGTGGGAGGGAACATGGGTGACAGGACAGGAACAGCTGGAAGCTTGTGTTGGAAGGTGGAGATGTCTTCAGCCCATGCACATGCCCTATTGCAAGCCTGAATTTTCTCCACAGCCCTCTGCCTTACTGTTCCCATGCAGAAATTGGAACTGCACCCTGTGTTGATGGGTTGAGCACGGGGGGCAGATACTACTGTCTGTGTTGACATAGACCTCACCTGTACCCACCCTCATGTCTCTCAGAGCAGAACTCAGGTGCACTGGGGAGAACTCTCTCTGTTGTGCTTGGCCTCCTCAGGACTGGCACAGGGCTGGAGAGGCACCTCTGTGCCTCCAAAATCACTCTTCCCAGGCAAAGGCAGGCTGTGTCCTAGTGCCCCACCTTGTCTGCCTCATGGAGCAGGGGAGCAATGACAGGGAAGAGTGTGTTGGGGACCATGCTCGTTGTTTTAGTCCAGGTTGGCCGGCAGGTGGGTTTTCAGAGACTTGAGCTCAGCTGGGCTCAGTTTAGTCACTCAGCCTGCGAGGTCTTGCAACAGCAGTAGGCAGAGGTAACTCCAGGTTAACAAAAATTCCTTTGGTGGTAAATAATGGTGGGTTGTTTGTTTTAATATCTGATGCCGAGTGTCTCAGAGACATGAGGCACAATTCTCTTGGACTTCTTTAATGTGCAGAGGTGACTTTGATATATTAATGCTGGCATGTTATACACCAAGGCTTGCAAATCTCTTGGTTTAAACCGTTACCTCCCGGGCTAAAAATTTGCAGTGTGAATTCTGCAAGTTAGGATGGGATATCCCGCAATGAAAAAGTTCTCTTGCAAAGTCTTCAGAGACTTCCTGTTTCTGGTTAGACTGAAAACATCCTGAGGGAAAAAACCTGCTGCTGTATGTTCTGGTGCTCCTGTGGTCAGTCTCTGTTTAAGAGGTTGTATGTATTCCAGTTCCTAGGCCACAAGAACAATTTAAGGTGAATAATGACTAAGGCCCTTATATGGAATAGGGGTGAATATCATCTTTCAGGTTTCTAAATGTACTTTGGGTAATTGTTCAATGCAAGGTATCACATGCATCTTTTTCTGTTTCCTAATGCTGGGTTTAGTTCCTCTTGGCTCCGAATCATACGACATCGTATCTGCTGCTTCATTGGCTGAACACAGTGCTTGAAGCCGGTTCTCTGGAAGGAATGCTTGCAGAAAGGGAAGCTTTCAAATTTGCTTTATATGCATATTTGTGCATAAGTCTTCTAAAATCTCTCCACAGAAGCATGTGCTCCAGCAACACAGCTGTCTGAGTGTCCATGGGAAGCTAAGACAAAAGGAGTATGGATGCAGTGGAAGCAAGTTGGCTGAAAAGCTCAGAAGGATATTTATTGCAGGGAAAAGAAGCCACTTGTTGCTTACACAGTCTCAGAGCTGCTGCAGGCAGTGCAGATCTTTCTGCTTAAACAGGGAGCAAGAGATCTCTGCCCCGAGGATGTTACATGCTCCTTTTATTAAAATGGCCTCTCTTCCCTGCAAAAGGACAAATGGGATGGGAGCCTGATGTGGTTGGTAGCAGAGCACCTGGACTGGGTGCCTGTGAAGGGCCCTGAGGGCTGCCATTGTGTGTTGTAGGAGCTCTTGAGTAAGACGCAGTGCCAATTTATTTTGGCTCTTATGGCATCGATGAAGAGAAATGTGCATCAGGGAGCGTGTGGGACGTGCTCGAGCTTCTTTGCCCTCCTTGAGGGCAGTGTGCCAGCACAGAGGTGAGAGCCAGACTTTTTCCTTGCTTTCTGCTCTGCTGCTCTTGAGGGGCTGCTGCCCTCTGTCCAGTCATCTTCCCTGGGCAGCCATTGGATGTGAGGATGGTGACTGTGCCTTGTGCCTGTGCAGAGTGTTGGAGGCTTGCTGGGCGCAGTCCACACCACACCACAGCATATTGCCCCTATGGAAACCCACCATTGTTGTCAAGTTTGCAGAGGTTTTGGCTGAGGTGTCTCTAGATGTTTGTGTGAAAGCCAGATGGTGTTTTGGAAAGTGATAATTTTTCATTAACTTCTGTGCCTGGCAAGCAGTAAATCTTTCACCCCAAGCCCTGCAGTGGCGATCCCATTTTAGCTCTCTTAGGTCCACTCTGGCAGAGGGATTAGGTAGCAGGTTGTACTTTAATGCACAGTCATAGACCCAGGGCCCTGCCTAATGCAGGGATGTGTTCACTGTCAGCGAGTTTGAACAAGCTAGTATATCTGAAGACTGTGCATCAGTCTGCATTCAGATATATATCCTTCTGCTGTTCTTTAAATCATGAGTGCAGGGGTAAAGGTAAAGATCCCTGTAAGAACTGTGTTGTCAGCTTTGAAATACCAGATTGAGGTTACTTTTAATTTTCTTTTTAGTTGACAGAAGGACAGGTTAGACAGAGCCCTGTGAATTAATGTGTTGAGTTTAGTGTGATTTAGAAAGCCTATGGTAATACAAACATACTGAGGTAGGCTTTGAGAAATACACCTCAAATGTGGATACATTGCCCTAGAATACAGCATTTATTTGCAAAATTCAGCTTCTTCTGGTAACGTCACTGTAATTTATCTTGGTACTTTTAGGGACAGCAGCCACCTTGCTTAGTGATGCCAGTGTTTTAGGGTGCAAGCTGGGATGTGAGAGCAGCTGTGTTTGATTCTCCTCTACACCACAGATTTCCCCACAAGTTGGGGCAAGTTGCTCTTTGCCCCAGCTCTCCACCTGCAAAACTAAATGGCACTTCCCTGCCTCCTTGTGGTGTTGAGGGTAGGTCTGCTGGAGATCAAGAGAGACCATAGATTTGCTGGCCCTCAAAAACCTCTTAGATGAGGACCACAGTTGGTTTCAGCAGAGAGTCTCCTGCGGCACTGACAGCCCAGTGGGTGGCTCCTGTGGTTGCCTCTGGGGATGTGTGCCCCTGCTTGCTGGGTGGATGGGGGCTCTGTAGGGGGTGCAGGATGCTTTTGGTTTGGAGGGCAGGCTGGTGTGCAGCTACAGCAAAGGCCCTGTCTGAGCATGACCCTTAGGGAGCCTGGAGTAGGTAGCAGCAGTGCAGCTGCAGCGAACTTCTGGCACCAGCCAGTGGTGGTACAGAGAGGCCATTGTAATCTTATGTGCTGTACAGTATACATCTCAACAGGCTAAGTGGCTCCAGGTTTGGTTGTTTTTCTTATTTTCCCCCTCCTCCTCTCCATCCCTTCAAATCTACTTTATGAAGTTCCTCCCCTTAAATTGAAAATTTGGCCTTATCTTCAAAGAAGCCCTTTAGTGCCAAGCTTTTAAAGGTGGGGAGGAGGCGAGAGCAAAAACATCACATCCATTAACAGCCCAGTTGCCAGAGAAAATGTTTTTTAAAACATAATCTGAAACCTTAGTGTTTGGGAGCCAAAGCCAAGATTGAATACAAGTATGGGCCTTGTCCCTAGAGAGTCACAGCACTGGGAGTATGCTGGCACAAAGACCATGGAGCGAGGATTCTTGTGCATGCACGCACACAAATAGACAATTATTTGGAAACCAATAGTGTTCTGAATGCTGAAGAAATTTAATCTAGTGCCTTCTGTCCCAGGTTGCTCCCTGAGCTGTAGCTGATGTGGAGAGCATTTTCATTGCTCCAGCGCTTCTGTGGATGGCAGTCCCCGCTGGAGCAGGAAGATTCCTGCTATTTATTTGCCATGGGTGGTAAAAAGGACTGTCTGGTCCAGCTTCTTTAGAGCCTGCTGCTGTCAGTGAGAGATTTCTTTGGGACCCCTGAATGGTGATGGGTATATGATTTTTGTGGTTTATTTCTCCAGAAGAAAGCTGCTTGTTTAGCAAACACAAACACTGTCAGATTGAAGGGTTGGGTTTGAGTTCCAGTGTCAGGGAATGTTGTCAGAAACATGCTGGGTGGGATATGTCAAAAACACCTGGGCAGACTTTGATGATGCAGTGGGGAGTCAATCAGACTTGTGCATTGAGACCAGCTCCCCCTCTTCACTTTTCAGTACAGGGTCATGCTTGGTGGGTTTATGAGATGGTCCCACTGTCACCAGTGTAACAGCTGCCCAGATTAGCCCTGACCATCTACTCCTGCATGGAAGTGGACCCTGTTTCTTAAGTGGCTATTCAGGCATATCCTGGCTTGCAAGCACTTGAAGTGCAGCTTCTAAGCCAAAGTCATCTGGGCAGAAAGAGAGCAAGATGGCCCCAGTTATCCAGTTGCAATGGGGTTTGAATCCAGTGAGGAACACCCCATTACTAACTTCTTCTGGGCATGGCTAGCCAGACCACAGCAGAGCTGTGGGACCCTTGCAGGAGGAGGGCTTGATATCTACTAGCTCTTGAGTCCCTCTGGGGACTTCCATACCCCTCAGCTGGCTAAGCAGGGTATCAGGCTTGTAGCTGTCGGGCATTTCTGCAGCTGGAGGCTTGTAGGGTGAGAGAAGCCTGTGAGAAGCTGGTGCATGAAGAGCTCCTCAGAGAGGAACACCAGGTGCTTTAGATGTGTCCATCATCACCTTTTGTCACTCCGACTTTATCCTTGGGGTGTCTGGGACTGGCCTGAAGGGAAAAGATGTCTGCTTTCCAGCAGATGAGGAGCTGAGCTCCTGTTTCCATGCCAGCTTGTGCCTGAACACCTTTGTAGTGCCATAGAGAAAGAGTCCAGGGCCACACAAGGACTGGTTGCCTTTAAGGACCTTGCTGCTCTGGGTGCCTGAGGTGCTGTAAATGTTGCAAGAGTAGTTCAGCTATTGTCACCCCAGCTCCAGATCCTGTCAGAAGTGGCTGCCCAGGCAGCAGAGAAGAGGAAGGTCTTGGGATCATGATCAACTATGCCAGATGACCATGCAGCCCATTAGTTTGATGATGGATGCTGAGAAAGGGCGGTCAGTACCCAGGTACAGAGTTGGAGCTGCTGGAGCCTGGGTGTGTTTGCTGACCCTAGTCACCTCTTGGCAGGGAGGTATGGAGCCAGTTTCAGGAAGCCTTCGGGAAGAGCGATCTGATTTACATGGCTACAGCAAGACAGGCCAGTTCTGTGTCTCACAGGACAGGAACCAGTCTACTCCAGCTCCCACTAGTGCTGGCTGTGCTTGCCTGGTGGGAAATGTGCAATACAGGCTGTGGGATCCTGCTGATGGCATCATGAAGCCTGTGGTCTTTTCTGGTAGGAAGGGGGTCTGCTACTTACATCATGTAGCAATTTAGGCAGGAACATAGTTACTGAATATACAATTGTCCTGTTTTTCTCACAATTGCCTGGGCTGCAGGTTTGGGGAGAAGGGACTAGGAGCACAAAGAGACCAACATTAAGAGCAAGTGGCAGGCTGTGTTTATCATTGAGGCCTGACCCTATAATCTCCCTGGGGATAGCTTTGGACATCCCTAACCTCTGAGCCACTTGAAAGAACCACCTTTAAAAGAATTTCCCAAACTAGTGACCAAGCAAACAAGTGCAAATTTCATCAGCCACAAAAATGTGAGTATAACCCAGTTTCAGCATAGTTTTAGTGCTGAGGATAAGTACAGGTTTCTTGACTCTCTGGATAAAGCCTGAGAAAGGCCTGCTTTGCCATCTTCCCCCATCACCATATTCCAAAACCTAAACTACTATTTATATTACAGTTGTGTCTACAAGTTTTAGCCAAGTTTGGGACACAGCTATGACAGATACCATGTTAACTTGTAGTGGGAGACTGTTCCCGTATTCCCATTCAAAACAGTGAGGTAAATGTGAAAGAGGAGATAGAGCATGGGACACATGTACCTTGGAGTGATTCTGCAGGTCAGGACTGCAGCTAAGTACAGACTCCACCGCGCCTGATAGTCAGTCTCATGTTCTATCGTCCCTGCTCAACAGAGGTCAAAGTCAAGTGTCAGTAAACATTGATTGAAAGTTGTCTGCCTTGAAGCTGAGAGTTGTCCTAGCAGAGCCTCATCTTCCTTAGCTTTCAGCTCACATCAGTGACTATGTATGCTCCAGTGAGTGATTTGTGAAAGGGGCACTTGGCACTGCAGGTGGTGTTGGTACCATCCTGCTGCTTTGCATGCCTTACATTTGGGCAGGCAGCAGGTCTTGTGGAGCTGGGGAGCTGCAGGTGGAGAGCAAGAGCTTGTGGCTGAAGGCAAAGGAAAGGAGCCAGTTAAGTCTTTAATTCTCTCCTGTCAGCCAGTTTTCAGTTGCAGCATCATGCTTTGAAAGGTAGCTGGAAGAGGAGAGTGCCAGTGTAATAAGAGTGTTTTGCTTGCAGCATGCAATCTCAAGCTAAACCGTACCATACATAAATACTGTGTGCCTTCTTTCCACAGGGGGTCTGGGACTGTGCTTCTCTTGCTCTGGAGGCATTGCTTTGCAGTGCACAAGCCAAGAATAAGCTCTAACAGATGCTGCTCAGGCCAAGTCCATGGCTTGTATTCTGCCCACATGCAAGAGGAGATGTTCAGGTCAGCAAAGAGATACCTTATGCTGTAAGGAGGTTCAGGAGCAGTAGATAGGGACAGCAGGGTTACAAAGAGCTGCTCTTCCTGAGCACAACATACAGGGGTACCTGAATGCTAATCTGACCCCTGCAGGCACAGGCAGCCCAGTAGGGAGCAGCTCTGTGGACACCAGTGGTAGGACATGAGCAAAATTTGGCTTGATGCATCAACTGGGAACTATCTCTCAAAGAGGACAGGATTGCTTCAGTGAAACCTGAGCAGGTTCTTTCCTCCCTCCTTTCCTGTCTGACTTAGAGCACTGTTTGGGGGAGTGGGTGGGGATTCAGGTGCATCATCTTCTGATATCTATTTGCAAAAAGCTGCAGGCAAACTGTCTTGAGGGCTGCTCATGGCCATGCCCTTCTGTGTCTGAGTAACAGCTTGAACTGCAGTCAGAGGGTTTTTGCTCAGAGGAATGCTTTGAAACATACTGTTTTTAATGGCACTGTGTTGCCAGGGGCTCTTTGTGTCTAAGTAAAAGCATGACTCTTTGCTCTCTCTGCAGGAAGAGGACCCTATCTGTAGTAGGACCTCCATTTGGCAAGTGTTTTGATCTGCTCTCTGCAAGCTAAATAACTGAATTATTGAGGAGATCTCAGATGAGGTGTTTGTGCCCTTGCAGTCAGTGCCTTGGGAGTGGAAGAGTGATGGGAGATGTCAGACAGCGGCACAGTTCTGGTTTTCCTCTTCTCTGTTGATCCCAGGTCACTCTCTGTGCCTGAAAGACTGCGAAGAGGCCCTAACATAGCTGCTGCCTTCACTGCTGTCCTGCTGAATTAGACGGGGCATGGGATGGAAAAGGGATTAAAAATGGGTTTGTGCCACCCATCCCTCCTCATGCTTACCATGAATAATCTCTTCCTCTCTCCAAGCACACAGTCCCCTTTCAGTTTTGCCTCAGACCTCACAGTGAGAAGAGAGAACAGGATTGGAGCTGAGGATTCTAGTGTGGCCCTGTTCCCTGCGTGCATGCTGCCTCCCAAAGAGGTAGGTGCCTCTGCCAGGTCCTTGCACCCCCTTTTCTCCCTGTTTTCTGTCTTTAATTTCCCCTTCTCTTCCTGAGGTCCCAGTGTTGCCAGCAGCAGTTGCTGGGGCTGAGAAAGGCTTGTTGGGCGATATCCTGGGTACCCCTGCCCTTACTTGTTTTGGGGAAGTCTGATAAGGAACAACTAGGGGTGCCTCCCCAGGCGCCAGCCCACTGCTGCAGAGATGCTCCCAGCCCTCGCTGACCTGAGGCAAGCGCAGCACGCTGCGTGTCAGAGCGGGTCTGGGAGCCTTTGCCCGGGCACAGTGGCTGCCTGCAGACACAGGCAGGGCTGCTGCCTCCCCACAGGTTATTACAGAGAAATGCCGTCCTCAAAGTGAGATCCATGTCTCTCCTTCCCTTCTTTCCCCTCAGCTGGTGGATTGGAGCTCAAAGGTTCAAAGGCAATTGAAGTCCCCACCAGCATTTCTGATCTCACATCGTTTTGCAGGCTAGGAGGGTTTTATGCTGACCTGTCTCCTTACAGGCAGCCCAGGGAAGCAGCGGACATGGCATGTGCTGAGGTGCCAGCATCTGCAAGGGGAATGTAGGAACCAGGCCAAAAAGGATCAAAAGCTGTTAATGAGCCACAGATGGTCAGCTTTATCTTGGAGCCTGGTGATTTGGGCTTCTAGAGTTTTCTGCTGAAAAACTATGTGAGTAAAAGCTGGTAGCAGGCAAGAGCTGGGAAGGAAGACCCTAAAATAAAGATCCTTATACATATATGGGGGACGTCAAGAGATCATCTGTGCGAGAGGCTCATTGTGTCTTTTTCTGAAGGTCTCCTTAACTACTTGAACTACTTGTGCGCTGCAAAAAAAGGACTAGTTTTCCATGGAAGAATTTTGTAGTCAATAGGTAAGACCAGCAGAGGTTTTTCTGTGGCTGTTACAGAGGAGGATCTCCAGAGGCTTTGCTTGAGTACAGAGCCCCAAAGGCTGCGATAGATGTTTTCCACTCTTGCGCAGGGCAGGATGCTCCCAACAGATGTTTGTTATCGGCAGAGTAAAGCAGAGAAACAGAAAAACTTCAGCTGGCAAGAAATGCAGAGGGAAATTGTAATTGTTTCCCTGTTGTGCTTGCAGAGAGAATTCTTGAAGCTGCTTTCTGTCCTATTTTAACATTTTATGTTTATATAGCTTATCTATTTTGTGAGGAACTATTAAATCCTGCAGCACATTGTGGATGTGGTTATATGAAAACAGCTTGTTTTACCCATCCCAGGGCAGATTGTGCCGCACAACTGGATCTAAAACAATGGAGCAGCATTTTCACAAAAGTGAGTGCTCTTCTTCCCGAAAGAGCTTATTATATTTTCCAAGTTAAGAAATGGTGAATGATTTCCCTAATGGTAATTCTGAGATTGTATTTCCCTTAGATAGGTGAGTTTTCACAGTTGCTAGAGGGAGAGGAAAGACCTTGTTCCTTCCCACTTCTAATGCTGCACTTGTTTAGCAAGTTACAGTATTTAATGTAATTTGGAGGGTAGGTACTGCCTGAGCTGATCTACAGATGGCTTGAACGGTGTAAGGTTTTTCTGGGGGTATTTAGTGCTGTGGGACAGATGAGATTTCCCTTCTCAAAGAAGGCACTAACAGTCCCTGTAAGCAATTAGAGATAAATGTCCTTGAGGCAGAGGATGACTTTTGCAAAGCACCTGAGTTCTTAAAGGAGTCTCTGTACAATAAGGAATCTCATACTCCTTAAGTTCCTTTACTGGACAATAATATAAGGATTTTTGGAAAATCCAAAGAGTTCTAGATTTATACTTCCTGGTAGACAACCAAATGTCAGGGGTTTGCTGTGTCCTCCCAGAACACTGCTGGATGAGTCTTTGGAGAAGGCCATCTAATATTTTCTGTGAAACATTTGCTAAAACCTCTCAAGCAAAGGTGATTTCTGCATTGAAAAGACGTTCTAAAATGATAAAGCAATTCACAACACACTGCTTCTTAGTCTTTTGCAGCAGAAGTCAAGTTAGACTTCTTCAATTATATTAGTAGCATATTAGACTTAGGTTTTTAAAATGTCTTAGGCTGAACAGAATGCGTTGATAGATGGAAGAATAGATTAGAATCTCCTGTTGTCAACCCCAAAGCCCAGGAGCTGGTGTCAGTGTTTATTCTTGGTCTTTTTACTGCTTACAGTTTTCTCCAAAAATGACTAAACATATAAAACAAGGATTGGGTTTGGGGTTTGAGGTTTCTTTTTTTTTCCTTCCCCTGTTCTAGGCCAGACTCTGACCACAGTCATGTATTTGTTTTTTTTCCTCTCTTACTTCCAAATGCAGTCACATAACAATAGCCTGGAAAAAAAGTACTGGAAATTATTTGTTCATGAATTTATTTCCTTTTTTGGGCTACAAGGAGTGGGTTAGCATTTGGGTAAGGAGGCTGGGAGTTCCAAGCCATCTCTTTCAGGATTGAAGAGGGTTTAAATGGGAACCATCCTGTTAAAATGAGAAGTACTGTAGAAAGGCAGCCTTTCCGGAGCAAGCATTTCCATGGCTCCGTGTGCAGAGCCTCATGCTTGGGGCACCTCTTCTCAGCTGAACTTTATTTGCTATTTATGTAATAGCAGCATCTTGTACAGACACTACTAAACAGGCTTTGTCTGCCACAGGCAGGCAGGGACCGACTGGAAGAGAACTGCTCCTCCTGTCTTGGGCTTCTTCAGAAGTGGGTGATTGTTTGCTTTCTTTAACAGTCTGCTAATATGAGGTAGTGGGTGGTGTTGTCTTTTTTATTTATTTTACAAATGGTGATTTTGACTCTTGTCCTCAGCTGTAGAAACTGCTTTCTAAACCAAGCTAGCTAGGATGGAAGCATTGTAGCGGGATGATCTGTGAAAGAGGAAAGCCTATCAGAGACATTAGATTCCCAGCTGATTATGTTCTGTCATCTCTCTCCTGAAGAGCAGGAAAAGAAATGTTTTGCAGACAGGGTTAGGAAATACATTTTTAATGTCTGGATCTGTGGGTCTTAGCAGATGACACCTCTGATTGCAAGGAAAATTAAAAATCACCAGGTTGGACAACAATGAATATGTGACTGCTGTGCTGGTCATGAGGGTGGTTGTTAAAGTATCAAACAGTACACGTAGTGAAATCTTTATATTTTATTGAAATTTCAATGGATTTGGTCCTTACAGGAGACAAAGCAGAAGCAAATGGAGCTTATGCATACTGGAGAAGGAGCATAATCTGATAAAGGCTAGACCAGTCAGTAAAGTTTTCAGATCGCAGGAAATTTCCTCAAAGTATATATTTATTTATGGCTCTGCTGAAAAATTTTCAACCAGATGTGTTTAAAAATATAACAGTAATGAGATACTTAAAAAAGGAGTTAATCTCTCCCTCTCTTTGACATGCTGCAGAGCACCAGCTGTAGCACAAGCAAGCCCTGGGGAACCCAAGTGGCCTGGCCATGCAGCCTGCAAGCCAAAGTCACACCTTAGGAAGCCAAACCCTGGAGGGAAGCACTGGCCTGTGGCAGGTTATGGGGATGGTGACCATTTGGCCGTCCTCCAGGGACAGCAAGTTTAGCCTTTGCAGCTCTTGAGCTCCCCAAATCTCCCCAGTTCTCTTAGATCCCAGTCGCTTGTTCTCAGGGCAGCAAGACCCAGTTTTGTCTGAAGTACTGGGAGGCCTTGAACTGTCTCTGACACCCCCGATGGGGAAATGCTGGAATGAGGAGGAAGGGAAACCAAGGGCTTTTGTACTGAAGGAACAAAAAACATGCTCTACATGTCCCTGTTACAGACTACAAACCAGACTAGGTTTTTTGTTTTGCTTTTAAATGCTTCTTTATCCAATGCAGGTTTTTTAAATTATTTTTTCTGTCTTTTTTTTTTTATTATTTTTTCTGTCTGTCTTTTTGGGAGACAGAACCATTTGGGACTCTTCATTTGGCCCATCCAGCCTCTCCACAAAGCATGCACAAGCCATCTTATCCAGGTTCATTTCCTCTAGGATTCCCTATGTCTTTGCAATGGCCAAACCTTTGTGTTTGATATTATGGTGGAAATGGCAGGCCAGCTGTGCTGTGTCCTCCAGTCCTCTGCCAGCAGGGCTCAGTGCTGGGTGCAGGAACTCTGTGAGAGCTACAGCTGTGAGAGTTGTAAAAAATGTGTGTGGTGACGGGCAGAAATTGTTTTTAGGAAGCAAATGCCTCCTTCTCCTCCAATGATGATGATGGTGTGGCACATGGGAGACTTGAAAGTCAAAGCATGTTAATTTTGGTCCCAGGTGGAGGATTGTGTGGAGAAGTCTTGTCTCCTCTGTGTCTGCTGGTTTCAGCTTCAAGATGCATATCACAGCAGAAAAATCTCCTCTCCCCTGTTTCCTTTTTCCACCACTGGCAGGTAATCAAGATTTGGTTTTAATGACTTCCCTCTACTCTCTCTGTTTCCTCTCCCCCTGTCCCACACATGCCTTTTTTATATTTTTTAATGCATTTCTTTTTGGCAGAAGTTGAAACGCAAGAAGCGTTTGGACCAAGATGAAAACAGTGGAGGAGAATGTTGGGCAGTGCAGTGCTTTGTTCTGAGTTCAGGGGGACGCGAGGAAGGGACAGGATATCATTTCCCAGATGGGGACCCTGCCAAAGATGTTCTTGCTTCAGAAAGCAATGAGTGATTTTTGAGGCTGTACCAGGTTTAACTCTTTGTTCACCCGCTTCTGCCATCCAGGGAAACAGCAAAGGCCTGGACCAAAAGTGAGATGTTGTTGTGCTATGTGGCCCAGGTGATGTGAATGGTCTCAAACCAAAGTCCGCTGTTGTGACTAAATGCTGTCACTGGTCTGAGGTGCTGGTTCCTCTGTTGGAAACCCTAAGGAGTGGATGCGCAGTCTGCACTTGTTTATGAGTGAGGGTCCAGCACCAGTGTGATTGTGGTTGAACAAATGAGATCAGCATGTTCCTTACAGGGGTTAGGACTGCTGTGCTACCTCCTGCCCTGCCAG